ACAGGAGTGGTGATAGTGGACATCCTTGTCTTGTTCCTGATTTTAGTGTGAAGGATTTCAGTTTTTGACCATTTAGTGTGATACTGGCTCTTGATTTTTCATAGATGGCTTTTATCAGAATGAGGTAGAGACCATCCATTCCAATTTTTTGTAGGGTTTTTATCATAAATGCATGTTGGATTTGTCAAATGCTTTTTATCCGTCTATGGAGATAATCATATAGTTTTTGTCCTTGGCTGTATTGATACAGTGTATTACATTGACTGATTTGCGTATGTTGAACCATCCCTGCATCCCTGGGATGAATCCCGCTTGGTCAGGGTGTATTCTTGATGATCTTCTGTCTTCTCATTTCGACAGGGTGGGGGGGTTGCTCCCACCCACACCCATGCAGCTCACCTCCTGTGTGCTGGGAGTGGTGGTACATCAACCCTAAATCCTCCTCCTCTGCACTGGGAGCTGTGGCACGTTGATCAGGAAGCCTCCTCCTCTGTGCTCCACTTTTATTTTTTTCAGGACAAAAAAGAAGGATAATAGTAAATTATAGGATAGAAGTAAATACTAGCTATCTGTTTTCAAGCAACTGAAGCTTTATAAAAACCCAGAAGCCCAAAGTATATACATATATATTGTAGTGTGTGAATTGTGGCCATGCCTTAGCTCTTATCTGAGAACATGAACTTACTCAGAAAATGGATCTTCACAGATGGAAAGATCTTGAGTTCATCCTAGACTAACCAAATGGTCCCTAAATCCAATGACAATTGTCTTTATAAAAGACAAAAGAAATGCTGGCCATGTGTAGCTCCATGGTAAAGCACTGGCCTAAAACATATGAGGTCCTGGATTTAATCCCCAGCATGGCCAAGAGAAAAAAACAGGGAGAGAAGGAGAGAGAGGGCATGGGAGAAGAGGAAGGAAAAGAAGAAGGAGAAGAAAAGAGACAAGATGGAGGCAGAAATTGGAATTACGCAGCCACAGTGAAGGATCCCCTTGTGGCCACAGAAGCTGGAATAGGCAAAGAAGGATCCTCTCTCAGAACCTGAAGAGGGATCGTAGCTCTGCCCACATTTTGAGCTAGGACTTCTAGTCTCTAGACCTGTGAGAGAAAACATTTCCACTAGTTATGCCACTCCCTTTATGGCCATTTGTAACCACAGCCATGGGAAAGGAATGTGCTTGGAGAGATGAATTTTACAGAATCATTAGCCCCTTTTGTGACTGCTTAGTACTTTGACAACTATTACTCAAGTCCTTACCAAACCAGTTTAGTTATAGAGAAGAAAAAATGTGCAAGGGGCTGGGGATGTAGCTCAGTGGTGCCACACCTACCTGGCAAGTGCAAGGTTCTGAGTTCGATCCCCAGTAATGAAAAAATTAAAATAAAATAACTATAGTGAAAAAAATGTACAGAAAAAAATAATGTTTCCCCATTTCTTCTGAGTCCAAATCTGGGTTTTGGAGGCAAGATCTGGTTGTGCCTGTGTGCTGAGGTAAGTTGGTCCTTGGCCTCTGAGCTGCATCTGAGGATAGCGTTGTTAGGAAAGCCTTGCTTCTTGTGGCAAAGCATCAATCAACTTTTCAAGTCCCTTCAAAGAAAAGTTCCATCTACTGAAATGCATTTGAGTGGACTGGGATGGTGGTTTCCTACTTTCTATTCCAAGGGTTCCTGTTAATACTTTCACACAAAATTGTGCCATGATGTTTCTCCAGTCTTGGTTTATTAAGTACCCATAAGCACTTATTTGCATTTAAGAGTTATATTTAACTTAGTACTTAGAAATTATCTTTCTCCCCTCTCATTTTAACAGGTCATGTCAGCACTTACATGGCTAACTGAAGCGATTTACTACTCAGAATACCATAGTTCACCATCAAGTGTGAATATAAAAATATAAACACAGGAGCCAGGTGTGGTGGTGCACGCCTGTAATCCCAGTGCTTGGAAGGCTGAGACAGGAGGATTGGCATGAGTCCACAGCCAGCCTGGGCTACATAGTGAGTTCAAGGCTAGTCTGAATTACATAGTGAGATCTTGTTTTAAAAAAATACATATA